AAAAAAAAGATATACAAACAATTTTCAGACAAAAATCATGATTTAATATAAACGCTACTGTTTTAACTATGGTCAAATAAATACTTGGTACCTTTATTACATCTCTATGTTCAAATAAATAAAGGAAATGTATTTCTCCCACAAACTTTGTGGGTTCCCCTAATCCCGTCTAAGTTGATAAACCTGCTAGGAGCTGGTACACATTTTTGTGGGTAACACTTTAGACGTTATCTCATTGTTCAGTCTTCTAAATATGACGCCAAGTAACAATGCTTTGCGACGTATTCTTCCATTGTGACGTCATAGTTGACAGCAATTCTTTAAACCTCGTCTATTATTAACAAACTCAAGTTAGGTAAACATTGCAATCAACTATCACTCGCTTAGAAACTTCTATATAACCCTACTGCTGTCAAATACATCATCAAAAAGATATAACACCCTACTGTTGTAACTATGGTCAAATAAACTCTTTATACCTTTATAACCATTGTACACTGGATACTTTTATAACCAAGCTGTTATCGCTATGGACACTGAGTACCTTAAAATCCATGCTGTGTTCGCTATGGAGACTGGATACCTTAATAACCATGATGTGGTCGCTATGTACACTGGATACTTTTATAACCAAGCTGTTATCGCTATGGACACTGAGTACCTTAAAAACCATGCTGTGTTCGCTATGGAGACTGGATACCTTAATAACCATGATGTGGTCGCTATGTACACTGGATACCTAAATAACCATGCTGTTGTCGCTATGGACAATGGATACCTTAATAACCATGCTGTGGTCGCTATGTACACTGGATACTTTTATAACCATGCTGTTATCGCTATGGACACTGGATACCTTAATAACCATGCTGTGGTCGCTATGTACTCTGGATACCTTTATAACCATACTGTTGTCGGTATTGATACCGGATACTTTGATAACCATACGGTTGTCGGTATGGATACTGGATACCTTTATAACCATACTGTTGTCGGTATGGATTCTGGATACTTTTATAACCATACTGTTGTCGGTATGGATACTGGATACCTTTATAACCATACTGTTGTCGGTATGGATTCTGGATACTTTTATAACCATACTGTTGTCGGTATGGATACTGGATACCTTTATAACCATACTGTTGTCGGTATTGATACCGGATATCTTGATAACCATACTGTTGTCGGTATTAATACCGGATATCTTTATAACCATACTGTTGTCGGTATGGATACTGGATACCTTTATAACCATACTGTTGTCGGTATGGATACTGGATACTTTTATAATCATACTGTTGTCGGTATGAATACTGGATACTTTTATAACCATACTGTTGTCAGTATGGATACCGGATACTTTTATAACCATACTGTTGTCGGTATTGATACCGGATATCTTGATAACCATACTGGTGTCGGTATGGATACTGGATTCTTTTATAACCATACTGTTGTCGGGATGGATACTGGATACCTTTTTAACAATACTGTTGTCGGTATGGACACAGGATACTTTTATAACCATACTATTCTCGGTTTGGATACCGGATACTTTAATAACCATACTGTGGTCTCTATGTACACTGGATACCTTAATAACCATGCTGTGGTCGCTATGTACTCTGGATACCTTTATAACCAAGCTGTTATCGCTATGGACACTGAGTACCTTAATAACCATGCTGTGGTCTCTATGTACACTGGATACCTTTATAACCATACGGTTGTCGGTATGGATACTGATACCTTTTTAACCATACTGTTGTCGGCATGGATACTGGATACCTTTATAACCATACTGTTGTCAGTATGGATACCGGATACTTTTATAATCATACTGTTGTCAGTATGAATACTGGATACTTTTATAATCATACTGCTGTCGGTATGAATACTGGATCCTTTTATAACCATACTGTTGTCGGTTTGGATCCCGGATACCTTTATAACCATTCTGTTGGCGGTATGGATACTGGATACCTTAATAGCCATGATGTGGTCGCTATGTACACTGGATACCTTAATAACCATGCTGTGGTCGC